GGGGAGTGGCCACAAAACCACTATCTGGCGCATTCATTGCTAACACTTCCCTACTGTGTGTGACATAACACACAGCCTGTCTGTATAATACATAGACATGCGTCCAGCTATGAGAAGTGACTCTGGGAATGAAAACTGACCACGACAGCGCGGATCTGCTTCGAAGCTTGGTGTGGTCATTTTGCAAATGGAACAAATGGGAACTGGCAGACTCACCAGGTATTTAGCAGCAACACACAAATAGCAACATCACAAGTAGGGATACACCATACCGATACTAGCATCGGTGCCGATACAAAGTATTTTGGCGAGTACTCGTACTCACCCAAATGCTCCGATACCTTCCCTGATAACGGAACCTAGTGCCATAGGGGAACATTGAGCCAGCTTCACGTGCAATCAGGAACGGAAGGTAATGTAATGTATATAACTCTAATGTAACTCACCCGGCGGTGAGTAATGACATGCCTCCCAGTTTCCTGATTGGCCAGGAAGCCAGCCTGATGCTGATTGGCTGGGAAGCCGGCTTTCCGGCCAATTAGCATTGAGCTAGCCGAACATGCCACCTCCATTCTGGCTGGCTGGCTGGCTGGCTGGAAAGCCGGCTTACCGGCTTTACTGAGCAAGGAAACGGGTATCGGTGCATCCCTAGTCACAGGCAACATTTACTAAGCAAGTATATGAATAACCAAACATGTATATGGATTCTTAATGTTTGGAGGAACATACAATTTCATGCCCTTTCCACCTGTTTGCTGCCCCAGAGCCTTTGGAGTAGCTCCTGCACCCTTATTAAAAGAAATTCTTAATACCGTATTTGCCGGCGTATAAGACGACTTTTTATACTTAAAAACATCCCCCGAAAATCGGGGGTCGTCTTATACGCCAGGTATACAATCTAATTTGTCAGCCCGCTGGAAGTGCGGTAATACTGTATGTACGGTAGCTTCGGCTACATACAGTATACCGCGCTGAGCCAATCCCGGCGAGCGATGTATTCTATTAATGAGTACAAAGCCTGCTCGGCTTGGCAGAGGTTGTGTACATCGCTCACCATGATTGGCTCAGCGTGGTATATTGTATGTAGCTGAAGCTACCGTACATACAGTATTACCGCACTTCCAGCGGGCTGACAAATTAGATTGTATACCTGGCGTATAAGACGACCCCCGATTTTCGGGGGATGTTTTTAAGTATAAAAAGTCGTCTTATACGCCGGCAAATACGATACCTACCTTTTTCAGGCTATCTTCAGTTCATTTAGTGATATCACGGGTCCTCTTCCTCCTATGTGCTGTCAGCATTTGGTGAGCAGTAGCCTGCTATATGCTAATTCTGGGTCACAGGAGTACATTAGTGAAAGTACTGCTGTGATAAAAAAGAGAAGTAAAGCCAAAAATGGTTTGGCTTTAGTTCTCTTTCAATTGTGTTCATGTTAACATCCAACAGCTCCTAATTCTAAAACAATATGCTGTTCTTTCCATTGGATTGAGGTTCTAATGTAACAAGAATACGAACAGCATCAGTCTAAAAACAAATACTGTTTTTGGAGTGAGTAGCCTGACGATGTGTAAATGTCTGCTGTATTATGTACTGTGTATGGACCTTGTGGATAACATTCAGTAGTTACCTGGTATTGATTTGTAAGTCCGTATTTACAGTTCTGTTTTAAAGTACAGTCAGTGAAGTTCATCCCATATCCACATGCCAGCCCAACACAATTTGTGGCTCCATCTATAAATGTGTCATTCACATTTCCAGATGCATTTCGAACTACACAGGAGCCTGCAAAAAAAAAAAGATTTCTTGTGATATTATGGTCATTGGAGATTACATTTGGTTTTCCACTAAAACAATTTCACTATAAATTAAGAGTCGGCACGTCTATGTGAGAACAATAGTCTGTCAAAATAATCCGACCTGACCAATACACTTTTCTCCACACTCAATGCCTCAAGTGTCGAATGAGCTTGCCCATTTATAGGTAATTTAAAGTGTTTCATAATTTATACACTTTATTATTTTCAGGCCAAAAAAAATAAGAATTTTTTAAATACTGAGGGGGTTATTCACAATGCTGCCGGGGGCAGGCGTGTGGACAACCAACCCGAAGTGAAGTGAGCCGAACGCTGTACAGCTATTCACTTCAGGCTTGTACGGCTGATTTCAGCCGTACACTGACTGAAATCAGCCGTACACTGACTGAAATCGGCCGTACATCGGCTTGCTGCGGCTGACTTCGGGTCGGCCGAACATGCCCAGCATGTTCGGCCGACCCAAAGTGCAGAAGGAGTTCGACTCAGCCGATCCAACATCTGGATTGGCTGAGCCGAACCTCCGGCAGGCTACTCACTGCTGTTTGGCCTATTCTCATAGATGCCGAACAGCAGTGAGTGAATAGCTGAGCGGCATTCGGCTCGGCTATTCTGCTCGATACCTCTGTGGTCCCGAGCAGAATAGAAAACCAGTTTAAAAAAAGTAGAAAAAAGAAAACAATTAGCAGAGCCGGAGATGATATGAAAGGCGACTCTGCTGAGTTCCCATGGTACTGACAGATCAGCCTCCCCTGGTTTCCAAGTAACCAGGGGAGGCTGAACTGTCAGTACCATGAGAGCTCAGCAGAGTCTGCTTTCATATCACCTCCCCCTCTGCTAAGCTCTCATTGTAATGCAGGGGGGAGAGAGCACCCCCCTGAAATGATGGCAGATAGCAGAGGAAGCAATAGCTTCTTAGCTATCTGCAAGTTTTTTTTTTTTTAGTATTCCGACAGCTGCTGCCATCAGAATAAAAAAAAATTTAAAAAAAATCAGCATTAGGAATGCATAGCTAGATTCCTATTGGCTATTTTAAATTGCAATATCCAATAGCAAGCTGGCTATTACACCCGCCCTCTGCTGCTGTCAATCACTAGAAAAGGGCCTGATGGAGAACTTCAGGTCCCCTCTGCTGATTGACAGCAGCAGTGGGCGGGTGCAATAGCTAGTTTGCTATTGCAAAGAGAAATAGCGAATAGGAATCTAGCTATGCATTCCTATGCTGGGTTTTTTTTTCTGACTGACGGCGGCTGGCGGCTCCGATGTCAGAAGAAAAAAACAAAAAACAACAGAGCAGGGAAAGGTTTACTCTGCTCGATCGAGCAGAGTAGACCTTTCCAGGAGAAAGTGTTTCTTTCCTGGGCGGCCGGGAGTAGCTATCTAATAGCGGGAGACTCCCAGAGCGTCTGGGAGAGTAATGACAGATCAGCGTCCCTGGTTACCTGGTAACCAGGGGCGCTGATCTGTCTCTGCAAGTGGCCTGAGCCAGCCGTGAGATGACAGCTGGCCCCGCCTAGCTGTGAGTAGCAGGCTATCTGCTGGCCAATGGCCGGCCAGCTTCGCCTTTCACCTCGGCTCAGTCAAGCCGAGGCATATGCCTTCAGCTCGACTGAGCCGATCGGTAGACTGCGGGAGCTGTACGCGCTATAGTGAATAGCCCATACAGCAGCCCTTCGGTTCTACTGAACCGATAGGGTTCCTGGGGCTGAAGCTACAGCTAGATCCTTCGGCAGCTTTGTGAATAGAACCCCGAATCTATTTAATATTTCCAGCCAGCAGGTAGAGCTCAGTGGCTCTTTTTACATGGTTACCAGGCTACCCTTGTATGGAGGTTCAGTTACAAGAGGAGCAGGAAAAGCTGCTGCTGCTATTATCTGTAGAAAACACAGAATGATCTATAAGGCCTAGTTCCCACCTGAGCGCTTTTACACGTGGACCTAGTTGCGCGAAAACGCTCAAAACACACATTTTCATGTAACTTAATGGCAACTGCTCACACCTTAGCGTTGCGTCGTATGTAAGAAAACGCTCGTTGCCCGAAAAGATGCAGGAGCTACTTTTCAGGCAGATGCCCCATGGTTTTGGTCCCATAGACATCTTTATGCAGGGAGAAAAGCGCGTTTTTAAAAGCAAAGACGCAAATAAGCATTACCCCAGCTGCCATTTTGTTTGCAAAATAAAACCGTTACACAACCATGAAGGTAATGTGCATGCTCAAACAGTAGCCCTGAATGTGTACATTTCTTGTAGTGTGTTTAGTACATCAAACACCACCTGTATACTATAAAGTAAGGATTTATATTAAAAACATCATACCAATAGTTGCAGAAATGATTAGATAGGACACCGTGGTCCAGAAAATGGACATCAGGGTACCTTTGGGGATAGCCACAGCTGGATCCTGGTTAAACAAAATAAAGAAGCATCTGAAGTTAGTTTTAGTATGGCCACCATGATCAATGGAGTGCTGGCAAGTGTTATCAACTCAGTAACATAAATGTGTGAAATATGTTAATGTGCCAGGTATGCATTTTAGCATCCACAACCATAAGCAGATCCTTGAATGGACAGTCTCTCTATAGACATTACACATACCATTCCCTAGTGTTTTCATAAACTTTTTTGAAGTCAGTCCTTGGTAAGTCAAGTATTTAAAGTACACGTTTAGATTGTAAGCTCTCACAAACATGGCCATGCTAACCATCTTGTCTTAAATTGTATTGTAACTGTACTGTCTTCCTTTATTTTGTAAAGCGCTGTGCAAACTGTTGGCGCTATATAAATCCTGTATGATAATGATCAAAAAGGTCTTCTTTTCTTATTGTGATGGCAGTTCATGTTATGACATGTGCACCAGCAAGCTGCTTTATAAAAGAAACACCATTTATCCGTCAAATAATCCTTGGAAGCTGACTCACATGCTCTAGCTCCTTACCATTATGCAATGTGAACCAGGAAACTGTTTTATAAAACTGAACTGCCATTTTACCTTTTAATCAATCCTCCTAAGCCACCTCACATTCCCCATTTCCCTGTGAGATGCAAGCTTCTGCAGAATCTAAGGGGGTTATTCACTAAGCTGCCAAGTGAATAACCGAGTCGAAGTGAAGTGAGCCGAACGTCGTTCGGCTATTCACTTCGGCCCTATACGGCTGAAATCAGCCCTACATTGTCTTGCTTTGGCTCCACTTCGCTTCAGCCGAACATGCTGAACCGAAGTGAATAACCCGTTTGACTCAGCCAATCCAACATCTGGATCGGCTGTGCCGAACCTCTGGCAGTTCACTCGCTTCTGTTCGCCCCTTTTCTCATAGAGGCTGAACAGCAGTGAGTGAATAGCCGAATGCCGCTGAACGGCAAAAAAAATTATGTACACAAAAGAGAAAAAAAAACAGCTTGGGTTCCCCCTCTCCATCCATACCAGACCGCTTATGTCTGGTAGGAATGATAGTAGGGACCCCCAGTTTAAAAGTAAAAAAAAAGTGCATCCAAAATCCTACCAGGCCCTTTAGGTCTGGTAGAAATTTTGAGGAACCCCACTCCCAAAAATGGGGTAAAAAAAGTTGGGTCCCCCCATTAAATTCCCAACCAGACCCTTAATCCGAGCACAGGCCACCTAGCAGGGCAGGAAAGGAGGGGGGGGGGGGGCGAGCAAGCGGCCCCCCTCCCTGCCATACCAGGTTTCCAGGGTCCCCCTGGAAAAGCACCTTGTCCCTATGCTGATGGGGACAAGGGCCTCTTCCCCACAAGCTCTGACCCGTTGATTGTGGGGGTCTGTGGGCAGGGGGCTTATTTGCATCGGGCTGCCCTATATAATAAAGGGGGCACCCAGATGCTGCCCCTCCCTTGTGAATGAGTAAGGGGTACTTGTCAATTTTAACATTGATAAGCATAGTTGTTATACTACGATGTTTGTATAAGTACACCCTATAACCTACTAAGCTTTGTAAAGCTTAACTAAATAATATAACAAGAAAATGAATGGTGATGCCCCTTTGTACGTTACCTTCTTTGTGTCACATGATTATTTGGGTAAAAACTATGATAGAATGGATTAGATATGTAAGTTGGCAAAAAATGAGTTTCGTTTCGTTTTGATTCGGGTCTGAAAGTCAATTCGTTTCAGCATTTGGATTTCGGATGAATCAGAATTTCATTACCAACTAAAATCCGTTGCAGAAAAGTGACATTACAGGTTTACTTTGTTTCTTTTTAATTTCTGACTCCCCAATTCATGCCAGACCCTTTAGGTCTGGCAGGAATGCTATTTGGGACCCCCGATGTAAAAAAAAACAACAAAACACTGTGCCGTTCCCCGGCAATTAATACCAGACCCTATAGGTCTGGTACGAATTTAAAGAGGTAATCCCAACGTCACAAAAATGATAGAAGGCAGTGGGAGGCAGCCATTCAGCTACTGGCTATTTCAAAGTGCAATCGCAAGCTGGCTATTGCTCCGCCCACTGCCTTCTATCAGTCCCAGAGGAGTGGACCTGAAAGAGAAAGCTGTTACAGAGTAACACAGATCTCTCAGCTTCTTTCATCATTTACATTTTGTAACAATATTGTGTTACTTTGTTTTCATTTGAGATACAAGTGCAGAGAAGCCAGAGAGTGGTAAATGACAGCTCTCCCGCTTGTTGTGTTTCCTTTCCGAATGAATTTCGGATGTATCCAAATCTCGTTATCAAACATTCGGATTCCTTCAGATTCGTTATTTCTGTCATTCGGAAATTTGGATGCATCTGAATGTCTGAATTTACAGAGATTTGTATGAATTTCAATTCGGAACAAAACTAAATTTAGAATGCATGCAGCAAATTATTTGTTTGATGAGAAGGACTACTTTTTAACCATACAGACAACTAAACAAGAGAAAGGAGAGAGGGTTTCAGGTTTCCAGAACTCTAAAGAAACTTTTGACTCTCAACATCCCTGCCTGAGGAAAATTAATAAGAAAAGTTTATCACAATTTGTAAATGTTAAGACTTCATGCTGCATCCTGCCCTAGGCACTCGTCTAGATTGTCATATGGAAAGTACAGCCCCAGCTATATCCTACTGTAACTAATTCTACTTTCATTTAATATAGTAGAGACCTTCAAGTCTCCAGAGATGTTGGCTCCAGCCAGGATTCCAGTAGCTGATGGGAAGAAGATGGAGAACATTCCAAAGAAGGAGCCATCTTGTCCTCTCCACTCCGGCACAAAGTTCTCAGCAAAAATATCAGCTATAAACAAAAGAAATTGAAATGTATGCAACTGTGTATTTTATTTCTCAACACATCAAGGTAGATATAAAAAAAAATGTAGATTAGGGAATCAATGGCAGCAATATGTAGCCACGATTTTACAGATTCAAAGACAATCATGTAAGGTTATCATTCAAATGATAAGAATTTTTAACAGTCACCCAACTAAAAATCTCTGTGACCCATGTGTTCCCTTTTCTCTTAAGAAATTACTTTTCATGCCCAAGTCCCTGTTCACACCTGAGCGTTTGGTGAACACGTGGCAAACTCGCACATAAATGCGCACTTTGACACGCATTCACAAAATGCATAAAAAATATGAAGCGCGATTGCTGTGCCATTACCAGTTATTGGCACCCCAAACATAGCTGGGTAGATGTGCGTTCAACCCCCCCCCCCACGTTTGTGCATGTTTAAATGCGCAAGAACACTGAGCAAAAAAAGCGGAACTCATGTGGCAGATTTTGCTATAAGCACTACTTTTCCACGTTTTTTTATACATGCAGGAACCCATTGAAATCAAGAGGGATGCTCGGCAAACACAGAAAATAAATACACATTTCTGCTACGCTCAGGTGTAAATGGGGCCATACACTGTGCTAACTGCTAAAAACATTTAGATCCATACACCTTGTGTATACTACTTATAGGGCTCATTCTCTAACACCTACCTGAGCTTTACCCTCTTCAAATATTTTGATTGGTGGTGGTTTAGTGTAAGTAAACCCTAACAACGGCTACTTCACACTCTGTTACATTTTCCAATAAATTATTTTTGTTATATCTTTTCAATAAGTGCAAAAAATACCTGTGGATTCTGCCAGAAACCCAGTGAGCTGGTATGTTTCTGTAAACTCTGCAGTGTTATTTCAAGCAGTGTTTTTAGCCCTGCCAAGGTCCCTCCTTGAACTATAGAACACCTCTCCCTAATGTTATGGAGATGAGGAAAGACGGATGTATTATGCAACCTTAACACAATTCCTGTCCTAGGATGACAACACTGCTCCTCTACAGATAAGGTAAGTGAGTAAGCTTTGTCAGTCTAGGTCTGGAAATGTATAACTAGCAGGATCACCAGATGAACCTTAAAGTGATATTAAAGCATTTTGTTTTCATTTCTCCTTTAAGGAGACCCTCCTTTGCTGGAGGCTGTTGCTTTTTTTCTTTAAAAGTTTCTAATTCCTCGTTTTCTAGTGGCTCCCCGCAGCGCCCTTCCCCCGCCCCCTGCCACCATCGTTTTAATGGAGGCACCCGTGCGTGCTCGTGCCCGGTCATTTCCGCAGTGGCTGTGTGCGTCCATAGACATACACAGCCCTGTGGCAGGCCACGCCCCTTCCCTCTTTGATTGATGGCAGAAGGAGCCGATGGCTCCTCTGCCATCAGTATCCTCCCCCCGCAACCCAGAAGTTCAGGGAACGGAGGATCGCTTCGGGACCGGCGGCGGGGACAGGTGCCACCATTGTTTTATTGGAGGCACCCGTCTGCACTCGTCCCCGGTCATTTCTGCAGTGGCTGTGTGCGTCCATAGACACACACAGTCCTTCCCTCTTTGATTGATGGCAGAAGGAGCCTATAGCTCCTCTGCCATCAGTATCTTACCCCGCAACCCGGAAGTTCGGGGAACGGAGGATTGCTTCTGGACCGGCGGCGGGGACGAGCACAGCTGACAGGTAAGTGTGGAGGGGACCGGGGGAGAAAAAAGGTGCAGGGCCGTTTTTACCCTAATGCAGAGAATGCATTAAGGTAATAAATGCCCAGACCTTAATACTACTTTAAGAGAAATATTTCTGGAAAAAAAAGAAAACAAATGCAGCTACCACATCTAAGGAATAAGCTGCAAAATATTTAAAAAACATTTTTTTTTAAATCTTTGATTGTTACACCTTGATCTAGGAATGTCTGCACCTTGAAGAAGGTTCATCGTAAGGTTCAGAAACATTGGTGTTCCTTTGAATTAAGGCATATATTCCTAGGATCTTGTCGCTCTATAAGGCAATAAATTCTCTGCATTCTAAATTCAGCAAATATAATTCTTTTGGCCACTCATCTATAACATGCTACCTGCTAACAAGACACATGATATGGTTAATCACTGGTATAACAGGCACTGGTAAGAAGTAGTCGGTTGTCAGTAATATAAAATATGGTTGCATCCTGGGCCTGCTTGCTGACATTATCCATCCATGTCATTTTTGTGTTACTTTAATAACACATTACTAAGTAACCCCTGCCACTAATCAGCACTTCAGTTCTCTACCGATATGAAAACATAATGTTCTGACCCTCCCATCACTCACCTCGATAGCCGAAGAAGCCTTTTGCCTTCTTTTCTTCTGTGGCAGGAATGACCGTCCCAACTAGGTAGTTTGCAAATGAAATCATGATGACAATGAAAAAAAGTATCTGAGCCTGGAGAATAAGAACATAAAAATAAACCACACTGAAGAGGGGTGTGTAGCGTAATAGTATTATTGCACTGTTTTGTTTTTAAAACAGTTTTATTGGGGTTTTTTTATATTTAAAATGAAACATTTGCAAAACTGGACATACTGTACAACCCAGTTGCATCACATTTTTCTGTTTACAAGTGTGAAATATTACAGTAGAGATACATTTGTGTCAGCCAAATGATTGTAATGTATGGTCACATAAAAGGCACGTATTGTATCATTACTTATCAATCCATCATTTAGAACTGATTTGAGTCTGATAAAAAAAAAATTGGAGAAACTTTAAGGAGTGCCCACAAGACTCCAGCGGAGAGACACCAGCGGAGAAGGAGGAAATCTAGAACATCAGCTAGTGATAGCAAACATCACTGCAAATTGTAAGTGTGCATTTAATTATTTAATAACTTGAATGGTTTTGTACTATGGAGAGTCTTCCTTTTCTTATTTTATTACATTTATGCGGAACATTTAAGGGGGATATAAGAATCCAGAGGCAGAGGAGTGAGGTTTTATACCATAAGTTGGAAAAATAGGATTTTTGTACCTAAAATCCTTTTCTCTGTATTCATTGAAGGGCACAGTCGAGACCCTAAATCCCTCACCATTGGGTTATAGCACCACCTCCAGGAGTAGGACACTAGGTAAAAAAAAACCAAAAGCACAACCTTGGGGCAGTCCTTGATGGTGGCCAAACCGCCTAACTACTAAAGGCAGCTTATTTAGTCACAAGCAGTACAAAGAAAATAAATGGTCAATGACAAAACAACCAGAGGGGAGGGTGCTGTGTCCTTCCATTAATGCAGAGAAAAGGATTTTACAGTGAGTACAATCCTATTTTCTGTTAATTGAAGGACACAGCTGAGACCTTGAGTGCCCCAAAGCAGTGTCCACCCAGGGGTGGGAAATACCAAAAACATATGCCCTGACAGAGCAACCAGTAATGGTCAGATCCCCCTGCATAAAAAACCTAGGAGCCCAGAGGCCACGGTAGAGAACTCAGCCAGACTTTGCACATGCATAGACTGCAGGGTAACCTGCACAGAATTAACTAGCTAGGCAACATAGAAATAAAGACCCTTCTGAGACCCTGATGTGACACAGAAACACATGGGATGCAAACCCCGGCAGAGGCAAAAGCCAAACCCCATAAGGAAAGCCAGTCTGGGCCTCAGCATCCCTGCATTTGACCAGAGAGGACAAAACCACTAGCTCATAAAACACGCCACACAGAGCTGTAGCACCAAAGATTAAGGCATTATCCCTATAGAAGATAAAAAACCCACAAGACAAATATGCAGCCCAACAAGTTACAGATGGTTGTACTACATAGGTTGCATCCACACAACCTATCAAAGGAAGAAAGACCAGCTTCCCAGCAAATGAACAGAAGCTCAGGGAAGCATCCCAGCAAGCAGACAGATGCAAAATATTATACAGATCTAACAGTAAACAGGTGAAAGAGTACCCTCCATTGTGTATGTTTTGGAGAAGCTACATCCCTCGCAATAGGAAAAGCAGTCATCCATGTTGCAAAGGGAAAAGTACATATCTTGCACAGGCAAGGTGACTCTGGTCTTCCACCTAACTCAAGCCCCCCATCTGCTGCAACCACAAAACCCATAAGACATATCAATATTCTGACAGCTACAGATATGACTACATGAGACAGATGCATAATGGGATCCAGAGCCTGCCTCTCCTCGATCCAGAGTATGAAAAGCCCACAGCGCATCCACCAGGTAGAGGATCAGGTCAGAGCAGCTTATCTCCTTGGCCAGCCTAGATCTGTAATGATCAAACCATAGCACTCCATCTCAGTTCTGTGAAGCAGATGAGGAAGGAGGTACAGAGAAAAAAAGTGTACAAGGCCGTACCAATCCCACAAAGCCACCAGAGCATCTGCCACCTCCAGCAGAGGGTCCAAGACCGATGGGTAAATCGATCCAGATCATTAGTAGAGTGCAGAGACCCGAAAGACCACATCTTGCATCCCCTACCAAAGATCCAGATCCTGGAAGGCCTTAGACTTAGGACCCACACCCCCAAATCCAGGCTCTGAATTCAAATAAAGTCAGTCAGCCAATAGACTACCCACGGAAGTCCAACAGCTTACAAGTCTGGAACGTAAAGTACTATCCAAGATAGAACGTTTGCCACTGCTTGGCCATACCAGAAACCAAGTTCCTAGCGGATGTAAGATGCGCCCACAACCGCAGCATTGTTCAACTGAATCCAGAACAGACAACCCCCAAACAGGAGGATCTGCAGTGTAGGAACACTAAACCCCTCCAAATTCCAGATGTAGAAGAGAAAAGATTCTATTGAAGAGGTCTCCTGTACCAACTAGAACCCTTCCCAGCAGCAGAAACCAAGAGGTCAGGTGAGTGGAAAACCCCAACTCCAGGCTGGATAGCCTAAAACACCAGTCCAGAGAAAACCTTGGTCAGGCTACAAACACAATTGAGCCGCCCCATAATGACAAAATGGCAAGCACAGGATAGAAATGGATTTAAGCAAGGGAACTGCCTCAAAGGGAAACACCACCAGACCCAAGATACTCATGGAGACTTGCAGAGTTAGGCAGTTCCTGACTGACAGCACTATTGCATCCCAACTATCCCTGAGCAGCACTGGTTTCATCCCAACATATTCCACGCGATTAATTTGATCTGGCGCTGATACCAGGAGGCTCAGCAGTCACCCAACCCATGGGTGCCAACAGTTCCTGGAACAGGAGGTCATCCAGATATCCCACATTAAAACACCACAGGATCACCGCAAGGCTATCACAGAGGCCAGAACCCTGGTGAATATACCATGAGCGGAAGACAGCCCAAAGGTCGACACCTCAAACTGAAAACAAACAACTAGCAAGAAAAACGCAATGTGCTGGAAATTAAGGTCCGCAAATACGTGCACCAGATAGTCGTAGAGCCGACAGCTGCCAGAAGAAAGAGTTTGCACCATATAAGATGGTGTCCATTCAGAAGCTTGTCTGACAAAAAAAAATACATTTAGAATCCATAAAAACGCCACAAGAGCAGTATGAAGAGCCACTGTCTGAGTGCAGGCACAGATAAGTCGTAAGACAACAATTGGATAAAAAGCAGAACAGATTCTCTAAGTGAGACAGACAGATTGAAGAAACAGCCCATTGCCAATACAGAACACCCCAAACAGGAACAGGATCGAAGATGTTTTGGGCGGAGCAACAGGGTATAGCAGAAGTGACTTAAGCTCCATACCAAACAGTATGAGTGTTTATCAGAAAGTAGGTAATGGTTTAAAACTACATTCCCCCTTGCATCTATGGTGGTATGCATCATTGAACAAACAGCTAAAATAAGCATACTAGGCCAGGGTGCTACACCAGCAGCCTGCAACTGCACAGGAACCACCTTATCTGACAAGGAATTGGGAAACCAAAAACAGATAGAATCACCTCAATCAGAAACTCAATGGATGCCAGGATTCAGGCAGGACAAACAACAATCCTATAGAGGAAGGCAGTGAGGATACTTACTGTAACCACATGCAGAGTCAACACCAAGTCGCATATTGACCCACCTAATACTGCATAAGGATTGTGCCCAACTGACTGAAGACAGCCACCAAGAGGGACTCAGACCTGGGATAAAGTTCCATGGCAATGGAGGAAATACTACAGGTCACCCCAGGAGTAGACACCAGAGTAACCAGACTATAGGAGTGTGTCGGATGCACCAGTCCGAATCCGCTGTACAACGATAACACATGACTTTACGCAGTTCCGAACCGACCGAGCCATTGCAAAGAGGCTTGGTGACATTCGGCTATACACTCACTGCCATTCAGGCCTTATGAGAATAGGGGAGAACTGCAGCGAGTGAGCTGCCTGAGCTTCGGCTTAGCTGATCTAGATGTTGGATCAGCTGAGTCGAAGTCCCTCTGCACTTCGGCTCAGCCGATGTACGGCCGAAATCAGCCGTACTGAGCCGGAGTGAATAGCCGAATGACATTCGGCTCTGTTCTTCACTCTGCTGCTTTCTGCAGCTTTGTGAATAACCCTGTTAATGTATTATTAAGATTGTACACACAGTAGCACTTGCTGATATCTGCATATTACTATTTTGGTTGTTTATATACAGTATTTTCATTGGTATTACCCATCCAGTAAGATTTTGATTGTATTTAGGTAGTTTGTATATAGATATTATTGTACCTAGGACTGCTGTGTTTAAGGAGTTTAGTTTTTAACAGGGTTATTCACAAAGAGTGAAGAGTTTGGAGAAGGCAGGAGAAGTGAACAATCTAGGACAACATAGCTGATTTGGAAAAATTCTCCAATTCAGCTCAGTTTCCAGTTCAGCTATGCTGTCCTAGATTGTTCACTTCTCCTGCCTCCTCCAAACTGTAAGTCTTCTTTTCTCATACATATTGGTTTACCTGTGCACTGCACTATACCTAAATAGACAACATCAAACCATCTTGTGCATCAAATATCTGGTATATCGATTATGCAATTTTAAAAAGTGCAAAAAATATATAATAGAACACATACTCTAATTAATTAAAAAAGAAATTGAAATATTGTGATAGGCTTTTTGCAATGTCCAATTATAAGTGAAGAAATTCTCCTCCCAAGACTTAAAAAGTTATTAAAACAAGTGCATTTGATGTCCATAAATTACACTTTCATATTAAGTAGTGCTCCAATCTTCCACCTTCTCTGTTGATATATATACACATAAATCTTTACTCCGCCGTAATAAAAAAAAAAAACCCATTAAACTGCACTCAGCGGAATTATAGGGCTGCCCTAAATAGGATAAGCAATAAGCGCTTCTACCACTGGTGTTTCTTTCTCTTTTTTTTCATTTTCCTCTTTTCCCTTCCCCTATTTCCCTCTACCCTACTGACCCTTATTATCTGTTTCTTTCTCCTTCTGCACTTTTCTGAATTTCTCTTAATTCCTTACCACTCTACTTTATTTTTCCCCACATAACGCTTGTTTCTTTATGCATGCTGCCTGGTACATAAAATTTTTGTATATATCTCACAATTATTTACGATAAAATGGTAGGTTCTTATGCCAGAGCAGTGGGTATTGTATATGTTTGCTCCTCTGCAGCGGTCTAAGGTCCCATAAATCATCACATTCTATATACTGTGTATAGAAGTGAGGATGTTGAGGAAGATTCCAATGCTGCAGCGTAGGAAAAGAGAGGCTGAAGGGAGCGTTGTGACAGCTGGCCGGCTTGGAGCTTCAGGTGGTGCAGGTGAGTATAACTTTGTTATTTTTGATCATAAAATGAGCACTTAAACCCTTGCAATACAGGGGTAGCCTCACTACAAGGTTTAGTAAAACATTTTCCTGGAGTTCTTCCTTAATGTAAAGCATAGAAAACAGTTGAGAGGTTGCGTTTCACCGTTGTTAAAAAGGCATTTTTAAAGCACCTGCTGACAATCGTACAGAAAAATGTTAGGGATTGATTTATGTTCATTTCAATTGCCACTTTTTTTACCTTTGCCTCCCACTCCATGCCAGCCAGAGAGATTCCTAGAAGTGCCACGACAGTAATGATGCCAATAATTCGGATGTCATTAACTGGGTCTACAATGGTTGAGTCATAATCCTGTGAGGGTGACATTCTGAGTATTATGTATGATATACATTTGAATTACTACTTGTATACTAATAGTCCTTACAGGCTCATTGTCTTACCCGCAACAGATCTCTCACAGTCTCTGCAAAGCCGACTGTGTGCATGGCAACGGCCACAGCATTTGCAAATGCAAATATCAGGCCAATAGATCCTCCCAGCTCAGGTCCCAGGCTTCTAGATATAAGGAAATAGGTGCCACCTAGAATTGTATAAAATATATTTGAAGATGAAAACCGTATTCTGTAAATTTATTTTAGAGTCCCCCCCCAGAACTAATATTGCAGTTGTGGTACCTCCAAGCAGAATAGAAAAGTTAAAAGAATGAGAAAATTATTTTTAAAATGATAATACGCTAATCTGTCATTACAACTGGGCGGAGCCAGCCGTGAGATCACGGCTGGCTCCGCCCAGCTGTCATTTGCATGAAGATCAGTCGCCTTCAGCCGACCTTTCTCCATGCTTCGCTGTCACTTCGGCTCAACGGAGCCAAAGCATATGCCTCTCGGCTCAGCTGCCTTCAGCTCGGCTGAGCCGCTCGGCAGCTGTACGAGCTATTGTAAATAGCCCATACAGCAGCCCTTCGGTTCGACTGAACCGAAAGGCCAGAGGCAGCCGAAGAGAGCCGAAGGATCAGCCGAAGCTGTGGCTGGATCCTTCGGCTCTTTAGTGAATAACCCCCCAAG